TATATATATATTAGAAGTACTTTTTTGTTGGCATCTCCTTACAAAATTGAATTGGGGGAGGGGACACTGGTCGGATTTCGACTTCCTACCAAATTCTGACCATACACAGCGAATTCATACTAGAATCATCGTAAGAAATTTAGAGTGATATTTTTTCTTTTCTACTTTTTACTCTTAGATATATTTTTTTTACATAATTTAAAATTTGATAGTCCATTTTGTAAGAAAAAGAGAATCACATAAGAAATATTGATCAAATTTGAGATACACGAATATGAACTAACTTAATAATAAAACAATTTAGTTACTTTGACTAATATAATATTAAAATTATTTATTATTTAAAATTTTTCGTATTAAATAAATTTCTTAAATAATGATCAATATATAATTATATATAATAATAACAACTAATTTTCAAATGTTAATCAACATCACTATTTTATCTTAAATACAATATACATATAACAGTCAATGCAATATATATTTAAATAATTCATTACCTTATCATATTTACTAAACTTATTATTCTAAAACTCAACCTACTTCACTTTCATTGCTTTTAAAAAATAATACAACAATTTAAAATCGAATATTAATTTTTTCAAAATCTTGAAACAAATTACTGCAATTGAATTTTAAAGTTTGATCTGTTTGATCATAAAATATTTATATAACACAAATTTACTTTTAGTCAAAACTCTTTGTTTTTGACAAAGGTTTTGAAACTTTTCTTTATTTAAATTATATCATTATTCATTAAGATTATAATTATATTTTATAAATTTGACACCATACAATAACAATTTTTTTTAATAATTTTGACAACTTTCTTAATTCATAAATACACAATAAATATTTTACAGTTATTTTATTATATAATTTAATAAAATATTTTTTTTATTAATTTTAATTTCTCTAAAATATATAATATCTATTTATTTATAGATGGCGCATCCTATGATTAATATCTCGTTAATAATAGTTTATGAGTTTACGATATTGCCTCATCAAGACACCTTTTTTTAGTCCAAATATTCTTCATAAGTCTTAACACTGATCTAATGATGAAAACAATATGGACTGTATTGAAAAAAAAAGGTGATGGATATACTCCAAGTCATTATTAACAATCAAAATATAATTTATATGGTAAAAAGAGCACAACCGATACTTGATTTTGGTAAAAATAAAATAAATTAAAAAAAACATAAAAATGGTGAAAGTGTAGAAAACACCAACTATGTACTTTTAGAAAACATTGCACAATTGCTTCTGTAAACTTTAGAAAACACTTTCTTTTCTTAGGCAATAGTAGGTTGTGTATTAATATAAGCCCACATCATTAGAAGTCTAAGTGGGTAACTATAAGTGCACATTGGAACCGACTCAAACCTTAAATTGATTCGGGATGGGTGGGTTGGGAAGAGGTTTGTAGAGACAAGAAATTTGGGGGTTTGGGGGTTCGGGATGTGGGTGCTTTCAACTTAGCTTTATTAGGCAAGTGGAGATGGCGTTTTCTTGTTGAAAAGGAAGGATTGTGGCATACGGTATTAACTTCCATTTATGGAGAGATGACTGTTATTGGGTTCGGTGGTGAGAAAGTCAAGGGATCTAGGTGGTGGTATGATATTTGGGGTATTGAGAGTAGCATACATGTTACGATTGATTGGTTTTCTAAGGGTTGCGTTAAAGAGGTGGGTAATGGGGAAAACACTATGTTCTGGGATGATATTTGGAATGGTAGTGGTGCTTTGAGCACTCAGTATGCGCGATTCTATTCAATATCCAATAATAAGTCGGCAACTTTAGCAGACATGTGTCTAAGGCGTGAAGGGAGTGTGGTCTGGAATTGGTGTTGGAGAAGGGATCTCTTTCAGTGGGAGGAAGATCAATTGGAACTCTTGTATTTGGAATTACAAAGCGTAAAGTTATCTGAAGAAAAATTTGATGGCTAGAGGTGGAAACATGATTCGGGAGGATCTTATTCTGTCAAATCTGCCTATCAAGTTATAATAAACCAGTCTATATATGCTGATTTTCCTATGTATAGATATTTGTGGTCCAAGTTGATACCCTCCAAGGTCTCTAGTTTTGGTTGGAGGGTTATTCTAGACAGAATTCCAACAAAACAAAACCTAATTAAACGAAAGGTTCTGCCTTCTAATGTAGCATCTTGTGTTTGGTGTGGTCTATGTGAGGAAACCTCATCCCATCTCTTTTTTGAATGTTTCTATGCTTTTAAAATATGGATGTCTTGTCTTCAATGGTTTGGATTCTCCTCTGTTCAAAATAATACTAGTTTGGCTAATTTCGAGCAATTTGTAGGAGTCCCAAATTGTAATGTTGTTAACCAGGTGCGATGGTCTTCTATTTGGTTGGTAACATTATGGTCAATTTGGCTTGCAAGAAATGAGGCAGTTTTCTCTGAAAAAATTATGGATCCTGAGAATGTGGTGGATTTAATTAAGTTGAGATCTTGGAATTGGTTAAGGGCTAAAGATTTAGCTTTTCAATACCCTTTTGCTCTTTAGTCTAATAACCCATTTTCTTACTTAAATTTCTCTTGATATGGTTCTTCCTGTCTTACTTTCTAAGTTTTGACTGTTGTTGTCTTATAATTGTCGTTTGAAGATCAATCTGTTGATGGTATTTTATTTCTTGCCGATGCTGTCATAATTTATCGTTTGAGATACTACTGTCATTGAGTTCACTACTTGGTTTGGAGAGTTACTAATGTCTAGTAATAATTGTCCAAACACTTGATTGTACTCACTAGGTAGTTGGTATTTTTGTTAATTTCATATATCTATGTCTAAGATTTTTGAAGTTAACTTTTTGTATTATAGGTTAGAGTACCCATTTGTACTCTTTTTAATATATTTTCTCTTTGTCTAAAAAAAGGAACCTTAAATTGATTCAACTAATTTTAGATTAAATTTTTTAAGTATTCAACTCATATCCAACCTGAATTTATTCAAAATAAATTTAGTATTGTACGAATTAAAATAAATTTTATATTTTTAACTCGTAAATGGATGTTTTGATCAGATTTGATTATATACAATAATAATAAATTAATATTTAAATAATTACTTATTCAATATAACTTATTCGATATAATATATATTGTCATTTTTATTTAATAACAAATTTTATATTTTAAATTAATAATATTATAATAATACAACATATCATTTTAAAATTTATTTTATAATAAAGTTGATTAGTTAAATTGATATTAATGTTATAAATTAATAAATTTATTTAAAATTTAGTTTGCATCATTATTTATTTTATAAATTAATTAAATTATATTTATAATAAAATATCAAATAATTTATATCCATATAAAGATATTTAAAATTTAAAAAATAAATAAACTTAATTATATTAATTTAATTAATTTAATTTAATTCATTTATAATAAAGTTAAGTTAGTTTAAATATTTTTTTTAAAAAATAAACTAAATTTAATTTAACTCATTAAATTTTAATTGAATCAAACCGCATAGGATTCTTGCTACTTTAAAGTGTGGGTGCAGTGTAACTTTTGTTTCAATTAGTGGTTGGTTGCATTAAATTTGAATGTGAGAAACGTGCAACTTTTGTTGCAATAATACATCTCCGTGTGGGTTCCACGATGACTTACCAAGTCTACGCAAAAAGTCTCTCTACTTTTTATCTTTCTTTTCTCTCTCTCACTTTCATCATATCAGTGCTTTGCCATTTCTGAAGCACACAACCTCTCTTCTCTTGCATTTCCATTCTGTGAGTTTGAACTTGAAAAATGACCGAGGCTATCCTTGGGGTTGCCTTTGAAAAGTTGAGCTCTCTTGTTGGAAAAGAGTTGGGACGGTTTCTGGGTTTCGATCGAGACATGGAGAGGCTTCAAAGCATGTTCACTGCAATCAAGGCTACGCTTGAAGATGCTGAGGAGAAACAATTCTCAAGTAGGACTATCAAGGATTGGCTGCAAAAGCTGAAAGATGTAGCTCTCAAGCTGGATGACATCATGGATGAGTGTGCCTATGAAGAATTGAGTCTATCAAATCAGGTACAAAGCTCTTGCTTATCATCTTTTAATCCCAAACATGTTGTTTTTCGTCACAAAATGTCAAAGAAAATGGAAAGAATAAAAGAGAGATTAGATGAAATTGCTAAAGAAAAGGAGCAGCTTCATTTGACTGAGAGGACTCTAGAGAGAAGAAGTGAAGTCCGTGATTGGCGCCAAACCTTCTCTTCCATCACTGAACCACAAGTCTATGGCAGAGAAAATGATAAGAATAAAATTGTAGACTTTATGGTTGGTGATGCTTCTCATTCTGACAATGATTTAGTAGTGTATCCAATCAAAGGACCTGGCGGACTTGGAAAAACAACACTAGCCCAACTTGTCTTCAATCATGAGAGGGTAGTCAAACACTTTGAGCTAAAAATTTGGGTTTGTGTTTCAGAAGACTTTAGTTTAAAAAGAATGATAAAATCTATAATCCAAGCAGCATCTGGGGATGCCTGTGGAGATTTGGAACTAGAGCCACTTCAAAAAAAACTTCATGATTTGCTTCAAAGAAAAAAATATTTACTTGTTTTGGATGATGTGTGGGATGAAGAGCAAGAAAATTGGAATAGGTTGAAATCTGTTTTGTCTTGTGGGGCAAAGGGTACTTTCGTTTTGGTTACCACTCGTCTTACAAAGGTTGCAACAATCATGGGAACAACTGATCCGCATGAATTATCAATGTTATCTGACGGAAATTGTTGGGAATTGTTTAAACACCGAGCCTTCGGATCAGATGAGGTAATACAGGTAGAACATGAAAACATAGGGAAGGAGATAGTAAAGAAGTGTGGGGGATTGCCTCTTGCAGCAACAGCACTAGGAGGTCTTTTACGCTTTGAAAGAAAGGAAGAAGCATGGCTCAATGTTAAGGAAAGCAACGTGTGGAGTTCATCAGACAATATAATGCCTGCCCTAATATTAAGCTACTTGAACTTGCCAATAAAACTCAGACAATGTTTTGCTTATTGTGCAATATTTCCCAAAGATGAAAGAATTGAAAAACAATATTTAATTGAACTTTGGATGGCTAATGGATTCATTTCATCTAATGGAATGTTAAATGCTCAAGACGTTGGTGATGATGTGTGGCATGAATTACACTGGAGATCACTTTTTCAAGATCTTGAGATAGATGAATTGGGCAAAGTTACAAGTTTCAAGTTACATGACCTTGTTCATGATCTTGCACAATCTGTTGCTGAAGAGATTTGTTGCATTACAAGGGATACTGATGTTACTACTTTGTCTAAAAGAATCTACCATCTGTCAGACAGTACGTGGGGGAGCCACCAGTTGCCTAAAGTCAAATCATTGAGAACCTGTATAATGTTGAATTATTTGAAAGAAAGATTTCATTCTAGTGTGCTGAAATTTTATTCTTTACGCGTGCTTGACTTTGTAAATAGAAACAAATTGTCATCTTCAATTGGTAATTTAAAACATCTAAGGTACTTGAATCTTTCCTATGGAAAGTTCAAAACTCTACCAGAATCGTTATGTGAATTGTGGAATTTGCAAATATTGAAATTAGACCGTTGTAATGATCTCCAAAAGTTTCCTAACAGTTTGATATGGTTAAAAGCACTACATCAACTATCTTTGAGCGGTTGCTACTCACTATCAAGCTTGCCTCCTCATATAGGGAAGATGAGTTCCCTAAGAAGTTTAACCATGTACATTGTTGGCAAGGAAAGTGGGTTCCTTTTGGAAGAATTGGAAGCACTTAATCTGAAAGGAGAGCTTTTCATCAAGAATATGGAGAAAGTAAAAAGTGTAATGGATGCCAAAAAAGTCAACATGTCAAACAAGAAACTAAACTTGTTGAGGTTTAAATGGGCGAGAAATGAAGAGTTTGAATTGCAAAATAATGTTGAGCAGATTCTTGAAGTGCTTCAGCCTGATACCCAACAACTTCAGCGTTTGATAGTGACAAATTATAAAGGTGTCCATTTCCCCCAATGGATGTCTAGTCCTTCCCTCAAATATTTAAATTCTTTAGAGTTGGATGGTTGCAGAAGTTCTTTACACCTTCCAGTGTTGGGAAAACTACCTTCTCTAAGGGATTTAACCGTAAGTGACATGACTCAAGTAGAATACCTATACGAGGAGTCTTATGATGATGGAGTGGTTTTCTTGGCTCTAGAATATCTGTCCTTAAGTAGCCTGCCAAACCTAGTAAGGTTATCAAGGGAGTACGGGGAAAACATGTTCCCTCACCTTTCCAAACTTTATATATCTGAATGTCCTAAATTATGGGGTTTGCCTAGTCTTCCATCTATCAATGCTCTATGGATACAAGGAAAATGCTTTCAAGACTTACAGAGTTCAATTCAGAAACTCAGTAATCTTAAATTCCTGGAATTCAGTCGTAATGATGAGTTAACATGCTTTCCAGATGGGATGCTACAAAACCTTGCTTCTCTAGAGACACTAGAGATTAGAAATCTCTCAAATCTTGAAGTACTCCCAACTGAAATCTTTAACCATAATGTTATCGAAAGTCTGTATCTCCGTGATTGCGAGAACCTCCAGGTTTTGATACAAGGGTTGCACTCTCTTGAGAAATTAGAAATTCGCAGTTGTCGCAAGTTCAGTGTGTCGGCAGGTTTACAACACCTAACATGTCTTCAATATTTGTCGATTGGCACATGCGATGTGGAAGGGTTGCATTATGCTTTACAACATATGACTTCCCTCAAGAAGTTATCATTAAGAAATCTTCCAAACTTGGAATCCTTGCCTGATTGCTTTGGAAACCTTCCCTTGCTTCAACGATTGCAGATTGACGAGTGTTCCAAGTTGAGGTGTCTTCCAACGAGCCTAAGCCTTAGCAAACTTGAGCGTTTGTACATCTGCAATTGCCCTATGTTAAAGAAGCGATGTGAGAAGGAGACAGGAGAGGACTGGTCAAAAATAGCACACATTCACGATGTTGTAGTGTGGTGAATAATATATTAAGATTGTCGTGCAGGTATATTCTTGATTTTAATCCTATTTATATTTGTACAAATAACGTTACCCTTTCATGCGGGAATTTTCACATACTTTTGCCAAACCATATAAACGTGTATGTCCAGCCTGGTTATAGTTTTAAATAATGCAAACAAAATCAAAATGTTCATTTCACGATATTTTAGGATTTTAAACATCCAAACAATGTCAAATAAATTTCAGGATTTCTCCTCTGTTTCACTCCTTATATATTCAAGATATCAATTTTTTTTTTTTTTTGCCTCTATCCTACCCTAACATTCAATAATAGTTTACATTGCTCAAGTTATCAAAAGTGAGGTATCACCTCATATGTTTCAATTTATTAAGAATTCAAATTACTTTTTTCCCCTGAATAGTTTAGATCGCTTCAATATAAATTGACATGGTTTCTACTAGCTTATCCATGACATTGTATTAGTGGTGGTTGAAGTGTCCAATGTTGTTAAAGAGGGACATGGATTTCAGGAATATTTCATTTTATACATATATCATTTTTTTTTCATCTTATTTTGTTGTACTACTATTGCACAATGTGTTTTATTCTGAAACTGAAAATTATGTTCTTCCTTGTGATCAGGACTCTTGCCACTCTGAGATCCAAAATTTGAAGCTAGCCTTCCTGTAAGCTGTATTTGAAGACGTCAATGCTTCTTGCTTTCATTTATGGCACAACAAAGTTTAGTTTATTATAATAAGATTTGACAAAACATGTAGATGTAGCAATGTACAATTATTTAAATTGTTTGCTCCTTTGTGTTTTCACCGCTTTAATGTCTTTTTAGCAACGTATTAAAATGTGCATTTGTATTCTTTGATGTCTCCTTAATCCTTATGAACTTAAAAGGTTAAGGTCTTGTGTTTACTTAATTTAAACTGTCCACTTCACTGGGACTGCTTGTTGTGCTTCTTGATGAAAATAAATTTTCTCAATTTCTCTTCTATCTAAAATGTTTTTGACATTTACAATTTTCATATTCTCAATAGGTGATTTAATTTTTTATTATGTAATTGCTAAGCATGCCTGAAAATGCTTCCACTTATTTTTGTAATTTATTTATTTGATAAAGCACTTCGAAAATTATTATTTTTTCTTCCATTATTATTATTATTATTATTATTATTTTTGCAATTCATTTTAAATAAGAATTGAGTTGCTCATTTTTCTTTTCGTTTGGATGATTGGAAAATCAAAACCAGCATCACCAAATAAATTTGTGGATATATAAGAATGGTACTCGAAACTCCTTGGACATTTAGAAGGCATATGAGTTTGTAAGCAACTGTGTGCATAGACCAGATTTAGTCGATTAGAGGAAAACCCTGAATAGTTTAGATCGCTTCAATATAAATTGACATGGTTTCTACTAGCTTATCCATGACATTGTATTAGTGGTGGTTGAAGTGTCCAATGTTGTTAAAGAGGGACATGGATTTCAGGAATATTTCATTTTATACATATATCATTTTTTTTTCATCTTATTTTGTTGTACTACTATTGCACAATGTGTCTTATTCTGAAACTGAAAATTATGTTCTTCCTTGTGATCAGGACTCTTGCCACTCTGAGATCCAAAATTTGAAGCTAGCCTTCCTGTAAGCTGTATTTGAAGACGTCAATGCTTCTTGCTTTCATTTATGGCACAACAAAGTTTAGTTTATTATAATAAGATTTGACAAAACATGTAGATGTAGCAATGTACAATTATTTAAATTGTTTGCTCCTTTGTGTTTTCACCGCTTTAATGTCTTTTTAGCAACGTATTAAAATGTGCATTTGTATTCTTTGATGTCTCCTTAATCCTTATGAACTTAAAAGGTTAAGGTCTTGTGTTTACTTAATTTAAACTGTCCACTTCACTGGGACTGCTTGTTGTGCTTCTTGATGAAAATAAATTTTCTCAATTTCTCTTCTATCTAAAATGTTTTTGACATTTACAATTTTCATATTCTCAATAGGTGATTTAATTTTTTATTATGTAATTGCTAAGCATGCCTGAAAATGCTTCCACTTATTTTTGTAATTTATTTATTTGATAAAGCACTTCGAAAATTATTATTTTTTCTTCCATTATTATTATTATTATTATTATTATTTTTGCAATTCATTTTAAATAAGAATTGAGTTGCTCATTTTTCTTTTCGTTTGGATGATTGGAAAATCAAAACCAGCATCACCAAATAAATTTGTGGATATATAAGAATGGTACTCGAAACTCCTTGGACATTTAGAAGGCATATGAGTTTGTAAGCAACTGTGTGCATAGACCAGATTTAGTCGATTAGAGGAAAACAAGAGTGTCTAGGATAACAACGTTTCTTGATAAGACTAGTGGCTACGTAGAGTCCATGGAATATATATCCCCCATAACAAGCTTTATATAATTCTAAGCTGCGGTTATTTTCAAAATATGCGTGGTGTTAAATGTGTTGCCCCATGGTCCTCTCTTCCCAATCTCCATAAGTACCTGTGTAACATATACGACTTGTAATTTATATATATGAAACAATTTAACTTTATTTTTCTTCAGTTATAGAAACAACTTACACATAATCGCTTACATGATAAACACTTGATTTTCTTCTTATAATGATATTATAATAATATGGACTCCTTATTGAAGAAAGGGGATGGTTATACTGAAAATCATCTGTTAACAATCAAAATATAATTTCTACTTTAGCAAAGAAAGCACAGCTGATACTGAAATTTGGTAAAAATAACATTTAATAAAATATGGCGATAGTGTAGAGAACAGCTACTTTTACACAATATATAGGAAAGGAGGCTACGTATATAAATATAATTAGCTGCATAGGATTCTTGTATATAATTCTTCCTAATTCATGATATTATTAAACTAAGGGAAAAGCTTATTTAATTTGGAAAGTTGAGATAAGAAGCGTCACAGTCCAAATGCAGTGGCCCAACCTTCTTCTTTTTAGTAATTCGTGGTGCTACTTTCACTATATACTCCAAATTCATTGTAAATGTACAAGTCTACACCTGAACAATACAAAATACGACTATATCTCAATAATAATTCTCAAACATTTTAACTTCAAATGCAAACACGGCCATCGATGCAATTTTGGCTATCAATTATGTGTAAACAACAACATTCTGTTCACTAATACAGTTGATTTTTGTATTCCTGACAGATACTATCAAAAGCAAAAAAGAAAATAAAAGAAACTCGACATTAAATTAAAGTAAAAGCACGGTTTTTTTTTATCATTTTTTATCTTTATTTCTCTTAATCTTTACCGATTAAAACGTGTAGTGTAGTAGAATTATTATGAAAGTTTAGTACCGAAAATTGTTTGTAGTTTAATGTGACATATGAAACTATCATTGCTTAACACACCTAGTAATTAGCTTATGTCCCTTCACCAAGTTGTGTATGATTCAAATATCCACTTAGAATATGGAATAAACTATATTAGGAGAGAAATAATTACTTTGTATATGGCCATTATCTCCAACGAAAAATAATTATTACTTTTTAACAATTGATATTTTATATCAATATATCATATTTATGCAAAAACAAAAAGGATATATGAAAATTACATGCACTCCGATTAATAATTGATACGTTATCCTTATAGAATTTTAATGTGTTTTCTGATTTCCATATCTTCATTCATAAGGAACCGATAAATTTTCCATTTGTTTCAGTTTGAATTGTGGCTCTTTGACACACTAATTGAATTCAGAGAGTAAGAAAAAAGAAAGATGTGTGTAACTAGGCCTTTGTTTATGTACAGAAGAACTCTAAGTACTCTATCAATGCCACCACCAGATGGTCCATATTCAGGTTATATTGTGATCACAGATGAGGAAGCAGAAACAGAAGACATGCGTTGTTGGCATCTATACTAGGCGTAAGAACATTAAGAAACTACCTTTCCCTCGAGACAAAACTTTCTCAATTACTCATACATCAGAGAGTATCAACAAACTTCAAACACCAAGGTTTGGTTTCTTCCTGTGCCTGATCACCCTCTCTATCTTCCAACCGCTACTATGTCATCAAAGCCAAAGTCAAACATAAGGGGTATGTGTGTGTGTGCATCATGCTTTTCTTTTTTCTATAATGGACCAATAATTAATCTCATGCTAAAAGGGTTCTTCTTTCTTAGTCCTCTGTGGTTGACTATTATTTTTTGGTGTTGGATAGTCTCGCATATTCTTCATGAATTCTTGACACAACATATATTTCTATAAGACAATTTCACTCAATGTGAATTTAACGTGATATTAGAGTTTATAACTCATCTTTATGCGTCGCCTATTCTCGTAGGTAAATGTGAAAGGGGGTGTTGGAAAATCTTACATCTCCTAATTTTTGAAACACAACTTATGTACGTATCTATCAGCTGGCAACTTCACTAAAATTTTAATTGATTTTAAGGAATCTAAAGATTGATATCACTATCTTTATTCCCACTAGTTTTTGAATTAGTCATGCATAAGCTGAAGTCGGAACCCAGAACCAAGGTCATGCATACATCTTAGAAGAGTAATGTTACTTGCACCACATTTTCTTACAAGCTGTGTAATTTGAAAATATATAATCTTTCTTATACAGAACTAAAATTATGACACCTAACATGTATGATTTTCTTTTATTAATTTTAATTTTTTACAATAAAAGTGAGAGAAAAATGTCAAATTAAGAATGATAACTGGAAAATCTGCTAGTGTGATTTTAGTATTTGACTATAAATTATTCAATTAGTCCCATTCGAACTTACAGGGCTTTTTTCAAACTTAAATGCAACCACAATAATAGTTTATGCACAATTTCTGAGAAAACTTGGTGCAAGTAATATTTATCGGCTTGCATTAAAGTGAAACTAGATGTTTACAGATTAAAAAATGTGTATATTATATTTTAAAGAGATTAAAATTATATATTAAATTATTATATTTAATAAATATAAAATAAATTAAAATAGTAAATATTCATGAT